CGTCTATAACTCAAAATTTCGACTACAAAACTACTTTCTGCGTCTTAGCAAAAAAAATTCCTTGCAAAATTTTGCTAATAATTTTAGTTAGAAAATTCTTCGTTATATTGGCTGATTCAAGTTATCAAGGTTATACTGTAGCAAATTGTATAGCAGTCTGAGTTCTTGAGTCCTTTATTTGAATATTCATTGTTTTGATTTTGACAATCATGTTCTTGTGTCCCTTTTTAACAACATTTATGCATATTCGTGAGCATTAATATTTATATTGGTAAATATAATATTTTCAGACTTTATATTTTGCTATAGTATCACTTAATAAGAAACTAATTTTTTCAATAACTTCTTTTATGAGTTTTATTATCTTTTGAATTTAGTTAGCACATAAGAATATTTATTATCACAATATATTTAAGATAAGTTATTCATTCTATAGATATCTACTATTATATAATTTCTTATTTAACACTACATTAATTTAATTAATCATTATATTTACATTTATAGATATTTATCATTGTGCAATACCTCTCATTTAATTCTATTTTATTCAGTTCATTTGAATCAATTAATGCAAAAAATACTTTAACATGTTTAGAGTAAGCAATTCAAATTTATAAGTTATAATTATTATACAATTTTTCTTATTTAATTTATTTCTATCAATTTAGTTAATGAAAATAAATATTTATTGTCGTGGATGATGCTGAACTCAGATGATACTGAAATTTTGACTTATTTTATTATGAAAATTTAAAATCTTTTGGAGTGTTTTTTCAGCTTTTTTTTTATAGTTCGATTAGAATTTAAGGTTAGAGTTTAGAATAAAAGAGTATAAGTAGATTTTAGTAGAGTTTATATTTTCAAATTAAGACTCCAAATTTTAGTATCATCTAGCATTTATTAATCAATTTATCAAATATATTTAATCAATATGATGGATTAAAATGAAATTTAATAAAATTTTTGTTTGAAATTTTACATCTTGATAAAAATTTATGATGCATTTTCTGTTTTTTTTGAGTTTAGGTTAGAATTTAGAATTAGGATTATTAATTGAGTATATGTAAATTTTAGACTCTATTTCATTACAGTAATGTGATGGGCATAATTTTAGACACAAATGTAGTTTTTATTACTTTAAAAATTTAATTGTTTAATTAATGCAGTTCATCTGATTGGTGCATATTGTCGATATTTCATGGTCTCACTTAAGTAGCTATAGATATGGGTTTAATTACGTATTTGATTTTTATTGGATAATTACAAGGTCGCTATAGCAACAGATCACTTCTAAAAAACAAACAGTTTCGATAATATTTAGATTTAAGTCATATTAATAATAACATGAGTACTATAAATTTAAAATCCAAATCAGTTATTTCAAGAAAAGATTATCAAAAAACTTTGCAAGAACTTCAAATTAGTGAAGATTTAAAAAAACAAGCAGAAGAGTTAACAATTGGCTATAAGTTTGAGAATTGGGAATACGTAAATCAAATATTACATACTTATGCTAAAACAAAAGGATTCGTTTGGAGATTACAAAATACTTATTACTGAGTTGATAAGAGCATTAATAAAAAAGTATTTGAATGCTATCATGCAGGCAAACCACAATCAAATACAAAAAATAATACAACACAAGCAAAAAAATCTTCACGAGTTGAATGTACATGTTATATTAATATTTGTTAGCCAAAAACTGATTCAAATCTACATGTAACAACATTCAAACCAGAACATGCAAATCATACTCTTAATCTTGTAATGGCAAAATTTGCACTATCATATTGTAGCCTGCCAGAACCAGTTTTAGATCGAATTAGTTTTTATATTAATAACTCACCTGGGATAGGTAGTTTTATGATTAGAAATCTTTTAATTGCTAAATTTTCCTAACATACTCTTTTAGAAAGGGATATTGTAAATGCAATTCAACGTTTTAAACAAGATAATGTTTGTAATGAGATTAATAATCCAGATAATGATGTATTTTTGTACTTAATATGCTTGAAGATTAGCAAAATGATAATACCAGATTATATATTGCTAAAAAAATTAACAATAGAAGGTTATTTCATATTTTTTGGATGAATTCAAATCAACGTGATTTATATCAGCAGTATCATGATGTGATTGTAACAGATAATACTTCAAGAACAAATAAATATTCAATGGCTCTTTGTTTGTTTGTTGGTGTTGATAATTGAAATCATACATGAGTTCTTGCACAAGTACTATTATCTGACGAAATATCAACATCTTATACATGGGTTTTTGAACAACTATTAAATGCGAATAATTAAATTTTGCTATTGGTTCTGATAAGTGATGCAGACACAGGACTTAATGCAGCAGTAAAAACATTTTTACCTACTGTGAAATATATTTATTGCATATTTCATATTCGACAAAATTTGAACTATCATATTCAAAGCTCTTTAGGTGAAAATTATCATGAATTTTTAGCTAAATTTTATTTAGCTTATAATAGTTTGAATAAAGCTCTTTTTGAGGTTAGATAGAACTATTTAATTGAATTATTCTCTTCTACCAATAGTTATTTAATGGAAATGCTAGATAAAATTAAAGAATCATAGGCCAAAGCATTTATTTGCATAGTAAGTATATAGTATTATATTTATAAATAGATATCTAAATTATTTTTGAAAAGAAGTAAATTT